TGTTGCCTGTGGTGAGGGCCATATTCAAGGAGCTAATTCTAGAAGGTAAGGAGTTAATTCTCCAACCCTGTAGTTGACAAGTTGCACACATCTACAGTATATGGGTGGCGGGTTTGCTGAAACTTAGAAATGATCTGTGAAAAGCAAAGCAACTGCACTGATAATAGGTAATAGGAGTCTGGTTTGTACTATAACTAGAAGGACGAGGGCAGTCCTCCCACAAATGATTAAAATGGTTATTTAAGGGTTTTATTATGGTCACTCCCTGATTACTATGATTTTAAGATTTTTAAACCATAGCCATAGGTCTATGAATCAACTATAGCATTGTGGTGTGACAAAATAAGACTGGTTATTTTTTACATTGACCAGCTTCTTCTGAAATGTTACCATGTCACTACAGGAGCTTCTGATGTATCAAAGTTGGAATAAAACGTGTTTTAAAAGTGAGGACATTGAAAATATAAGCTTGAGCTTATATGCTTTTGTGATTAATATGAAGAGTAATTGGTATAGAGTAATAGCTGTATCCAGCAACAGTTTTTTAAGAGAAATACAAATGTGGAGTAGCTGCAGGTGGACCCTATGTGTTAACGGGTTCCCCACTAGTAAAGCAAAGTTTTTTTTTTATTTAAAGAAAAGCAAAACAACCTATAACAGTTATTGTATATTATGAAAACCTTCCTAAAAAGAACATTTTTGTAATGTTGTGCTTCCAGTCTAGTTTAAACTTGGAACGCAGAATCCCTCAACAAACAGGAGTGTGTCTGACATCATCTAAAGCTGCCTCTATTTCTCCGCAGTCCTGCGCGATGACTTCAGGCAGAACCCATCCGATGTGATGGTGGCAGCTGGGGAGCCTGCTGTCATGGAGTGCCAGCCCCCCCGAGGTCATCCAGAGCCAACTATCTCCTGGAAGAAAGACGCTGTACCAATCGATGACAAAGATGAAAGAATCACGGTGAGTGTCCAGCACAATGCAGAAAAGGGCATTATGCTGTTGGTTGGTGCTCAGTTAAGTGAATTGTTAATATTCACCACAGATCAGAACATAGTTCATGATAGTGGGATAAGTCAGACAGGCCTCTCTTTGCTTTTAGTGACACAGCAACTCTGGCATCCTCTCAGGGGTATGTTGTTGTCTGTAAGGGATGCGCCCCTCCTTTTATTAGCATAGTTTTTAAAGATGAATGGCTCAAGGGTGGATGAATCAAAGGAAACTTTTTACACTTTCTTATACTCCCTTGTGTGTTGTGATGACTAAATAAATAAATAAAAAACAATTCGCCTTTCCTAATTGGGTAGATACAACAAAACTAATTGGCAAATCACAACAAAAAAAAAAATTGTGCCTAAGATTTCTTCAGTATTTTGGCCGCATTGAAAGTATTTGGCAGCAGCCAGAATATAGGTAGAATAAAAAAATTGTGTGGACCTTAAGACATCCAGTCAAGTATAGACCTATAAGAAAAGGAAGTTTTTGAATCCTTCTAGAAGTTTCCTGTTTCCTTCCAGTACATATTTTGCTTTACTTCAATACAGATGTTTATTTTTTAATTCCTTTTGAGCCTTACTACTGTAGTTTTTAAAGTAATCATGAGTAATGAATGCTCTTAAGAATAAACAGGCCTTGCAGCAAGAACAATCTTTCAATTAAAATTGCTTTACCCTTTCTTATGCTTCTCAAATTCGAATATTTTTTGCATTACATGTATGCATTTTATTAAATGAAATAAGAGGAGAATCAAAAAAACTGTATGACTATTCAAGCCTGACCTATTAATGAGGTATTGCATTTAAAAAGAATCTACCTTTAAAAAACATTTAATTTCCTGTTTAGATACACAGTTAATTTTCCAACATTCATTCCCTTATAGTACCTCACGTGGCCCAACTCTAAACTGTGGACATGAAACAGATATTAACTCATCATGGCTATAGAAAGACAGTCTGGCTTCCCAAAACATCTTAAGTATTAAATCTGGAGATATCCTTAAACTAGGACATTGTCTTTGTGTGAGTTTGTTCAACTGCTTTGTGCAGCACCCTTAATCTCATGGAGCTGTTCAGTGGAAAACTGAACTGAACATACAGTATCTTATAATACTGGCTACAGACCTACGGTGATGATGGAAGAAAAGCATTGCCACAAGGAACTGCTTCAAACAAAACATATGCCCATCTTTTTGTTAAAGAGTGGAACTGTGGAGCTTGTTTTAGAAGACCTCACACTTTATGCTTAGAAAAGGAAACATCAACAACTTGGAAAAATGAAGCACTTATAGAGGTCAGTGAAAAGATTGCAGACAGGTGCAGAAAACTCCCAACAGTATGTGCGCATTCCAAACATAACTCGAAGAAAACAATAAAGGCTATGGAATATTCTCATAGATGAAAATTTTTAACACTGTAATAATATGAAGTCAATTCACTTTGATAAAACAAAAATGCAATCCACACTGGTGTTGTAACGTAAATGGCTGATTAATGGATTTTAAAAATGAATGACAATTAGTCTTTTTAATTAAGATGACACTCCAAGGAGCTCCGATATAAATTACAATTCATTCTCATTACCGTGCGACCTTGGGAGCTCAGAATAATTTTAACAAGACTCCTGTTTTGAGAGAAGAAGTGATTATGGTCATTGTTTTACTCAAACTGACAGGCAAGATACTGGATGCGCTTATTGGTGATCTTCATAATTAGGGCAGAAAGGCAAAAGAGCAGAGAACCCCAGTTAATGAATGACAGAGACCCTGCTTAAAGATAAGCAGGAGTCCTTTAACTAATCACATAACTACAGTGTGCAACCAGCAGAACTGAGACTAATGCAAATATGCTGTCTGTCCCATAAAATATTTAGCTAATATCACACACAGTACTGACATATACTGGGAATTGCCTTGGATCTTATCCTATGTGTGATTTTTAATAATTACAGATTTTCGAGTGTGTCAAAAAATTGAATAAATAGGACAATTATTATACTTTTTTGTAATTCTAATTCTAATGGTCAGTTATTTTTAATACATGCAATATGTGAGGTTTTAAGCATTCTTGTTTGTTAGGAGTGATTATATAGTGAGTTGGACACATTCTGTATGAGCTATTTAAATATTTAAATTGTATTATTTACTGCTGGCTTGTATAGCTGTAGGTTACCTTCAATGAAGGCATCTCCCAAATACATCAACATTATAATAATAGACATTGTAATAATAATTAATAGTACCAGCTGCTTCAGTGAACTGGTAAGGGACTCTGCTTTATCCATTTTGGGTTTTACCAACCAAAGGTCTTGTCCAGGCTGTGGAAATGGAGTAGAATTGCACTTATTATTTAAACTTCACTACAAACCTCGGTGGTGATACTAAACATCTGTTGTTTGTTTGCATAGAGTCCAAATATAAGAATCTGAAGTTCACCGCATCTGAAACAGATCACAATGTTTCTGCTCAGAACAGACTTGTTTTCTACATAAATACCATTACCTTCAAAAAGAATGTAAGTTCACTACAAATGTATTGTGAAAGGCATCAGATACAAGCAATATTAGTTTTGGAGTTCTGAATGCTGTAGTTCCTCAGTACAATTCTTTCCTGATTTCTGCTGTTAATAAGATTTACAGTGAAGTTCACAGACATACATGCAGGTGTCATTAATGATGTCCTACTATGGATATCACATTCCATAGATTAGAGACCTCCTGGCAAGCTTACTGTGTAATTAAAAGAAACAACAACATAATTTTTTAACTTAAATTACATTATCTGGGTCATCTGTCAATTTCCAATGAGCAGACCTGCTAATCAGGTTTGAAAAATCTTAATGAAGTTCCTTTTCGCACTTAATAGTTACAGGTTAAGAGACACTTGTTATTTTCATTTCTGACTATATATTGCTCTGTTAGATCAAAGGCTTGCTCAAAGGGAATCTTTTGCCATGAAGTCTTTTCAGAAACACCTGGATCCTTTTGAAGTCTTTGTAAATATGCAGCCCGTTGCAACTAAGTAGAGTAGCCAAGACGTCTCAGCATTTCTGTTGAGGCTGTGCTTATAATACACTATTGGTGTCTAAAAAGGCAAAACTCTCTGTCCTCCTGAGATAACAATCCCCAATCCCTCTCTCTTCCCTTAACTTTAGAAATAAATCCTGAAACTTTACACTCAGAAATTCTTTTTACTGTTTCCAAAGGTTCATGGGTTAAGAAAATCAGCACCAGCACCTTATATAATGTAAAGAGGAGAGGAGAGATGTACAAAGGAAGTACTTTAGTGCCACATTCATCATTAAAAAAGGATTTAAATGTTGTTTTGGTTTAATTTATCAATTAGTGGACACAACAAAAAATAATAATATATCCACTTATCTTTTTGAAAGTTTTTAAAAGGTATTTATTATACACTTCTACTGTAATAGTTGTGACAATCTCAACACATAATAAAAAACAACTGTTAATAATGCATTAGGTTAGAGTGATGTTGCTGAATGTCAACAGCAATCCTAGAAGTGATATTTTTAACCACCCTCAGATACTTGGTTTGATAAATAATTCAGTAGCTGTTTATAGAATAGTAAAAAAGCTTCAGTTTACTTGAACATCTTTACTACCTAAAACTGATGAATGTAAATACAATTGATAAACAGATAATAACGTAGCCCATTTGGTTGTTAAGATCTAATTGATCCAAGGATCTGATCCAGCCCTTCCTTGAAGGGAACTAAAATACTGGTTTGGACAATACTGTATGTCCCATACTCCCTTTGAGATATCATGGACACAGATAAATAGCTTCTTAATATACAATATTTACTGCCTTTATCACATTTACTAACGCTGTTTGAGGCTTATTTGGTACATACCTAAAACTGAATATTTTGACATATATTTTTGCATCCATCCCCACATTTTCTGAAAGCCACTTATTCCTTGTAAGGTCAAGGCTAGCTGGACCCCGTTTCCGATGTAAGGCACACAGGATTATTCTCATGCTGGTCTGGATGTCAGACCTTAACAGGGCATGAAGAAATGGACAATTTACATGAGCCAAAACCAATCCAGCAAGACAAGAAGGAAGCAGGAGGAAACCAGTGCACGCAGACATGTTCACATTAAAACATACTGTACCTCATAATTTTTGAATGTATCGATCCTTTATCAGAAGGACCTCTTATTCCCGATAAGTGTTGCAGCAGCCCTGAAGCATAGGTTCATGGTGGGACTGCATCCTGAATAGAACACTCTTCTATCACAGAACAAACATACAAGCACCCAAAGACAATTGAAAAACCTAAACAGCATGTTTTTGGAAAGTGGGAGAAAACTGGAGGTTACCCATGTCAGCACTGGGAGAACATACAAACTTTGTTATACTTTGCCTTTCACCTGAGCTTGATATGTTGTTTGAATGGGTTCTTTGGACATTTTATAACAGCAGAATAAATACTTTTAAAGTGGTATTAAAACCAATTTAATTAGGCTTCTCAAGCACAGTGGGAATATGTGATGAATATTTCAAATAAGCATGCAAAACACAGACTCTTTGTGTGTCTGTCTGAAAGGTGCTGTATAAAATATGAAAGAGGCAGAGTAAGCACTGAATGGTCTTGAAACAGACTACACAGATCTTCCGCTGGAAGATGTTATAAAAGGAGCTTTTGTTACCCAGCGTATACACCAGAGAAAACAAATCCTGACAGACAGCCCAAGGGGGAACTGGCCTGTTTAAGATGAGGATAAATGTCTTGGCTGGGAGGTCCTGAGCAAGTCTTTGAGTCTTTGGTACCTCACAGTCAAGAGCGTCTGCTATCTTAAAAGAGCTGAAGCTGCAGTCGAATAGCTTGAATGTCAATCTGTGATATAAAGCAGAAACATGTTGTTTCTGTCTGCCATGTTATGATGGATGGGCCGTATCAATTTTTCTCAAAGGAAGAGATCAGAGAACAAACAAAGCTGGCTTTTTTTCTCTTCCAATTCCCTAATTAAGCACCCACATTTCAGATGGTATCTGCAGAGCTTTGTACTGTTGGCAGGCCTCCGTTCTTCATAAGGGCTAACTTCAGAGTACAATATTTGGCATAGACTCTCTTTAGTCAGCAAAATGACTAAAATGCATATCTTTGTATACCTATCTCTGGTGTATGCAAGCCATCTTTGCACAAAAGGTGTAGGAATGAAACATTAATAATGTACAGTAGATGAATGACTATTTCCTGGTTTATCACAATTAAGGAAACCTTTGCTTTTTTCAGCAATGAAAGGCAGTGCCACTCTAGAATGCTTCTGGTTTGCCACTTCACGTACTGTATGAACTTCATTGCACCAGAGAAACCTTCCAATATTCAAATGAGGCTATATAATAACAATAGCTGATTTCAACTAATCAGATTGTGTTAAGATGATTTGCCCTACTCAGGAGCCACCTACTTCTTCTCTTTTGAAAAATGCTGTGCAATTGTTAATTCCCAGAGATTCTTCTTTAGCACAGGCATTGGAGCAGCTAGACTATAGGACAATCTGGGTTACAAGAAATAAAACCTTTGTTCGCAAATCAAAGAGAAAGAACACTGAAACACTGACAAGAAATGTGCTACAGGCAGATCTTTTTATATATGCCCTGAGGAACAAGTTGCAGGGGTGCTGTTTCTATTCACAAACTACTGGTCCTTCAACTGCAGATCTGGATATTATTCAGCAAATACATAATGCACACATAGATAGCCATCCAGCTAACTGGATTACACTAAATAAAAACTCTGCTTCCCTTTATTTCTTTTATTTTCTGTTTTAAAATAATAATCTCCTTAGTCATTTAGAAATTATACAATACAGAAACAACAGAAGGTTAGGGAGACCGATTCTGGTTTATTTTTGTTTGTGGTTTTTGCACTGATGCATGAAATACACTGCATAAGCATCAGCAGTCTGTATTTATCTTCTCCTGTTCATCAGATATCTATCTCACCAGAGGTAGCTCCAAGCGTTTTAGTGCACCACCCCAGGAGGAAATGAGAACATTCATGTCCATTTAGGCTAGATATGCTTAAAATTAAGTTATTTCCTATTCTTGGAAACAACGTGGATAAAAAGGAAAACAGGATCAGAGCAAGAATATGGAAATTAAAGAAACTGTTAAATAAAAGAATGTTTGAACTCGTTCAAGTCAATAGGTGGTGCAGCAGTAAAATGTAAAATCTGGCTTTGAGAAATGTGTAATGGAATGTAAAGAAATAACAGATCACTGTCAAAGAAACCTTTGGTTTTGTTCAGCCATCATGACAGATATGTTGTCTTTTGCTATTATTAAAGGCTATGCTGTTGTTGTAGACCCCTATTGTTCCATTATGGAACAAAGAAATAAAAACAAACACACAAGAGAAGAAAGGCCATAAAACACTACCCCTGGCTCCTGATGAGGTGCTGAAATATATATGGCCTGTCCTTAGCTGTGCCCACCTGGAAAAACAATTTGTTAGCTGCCTTTGCTTTGGGTTTTTGGCATTAAACATGGTGGCCAAGCCTGGCTGGTTAATGTACAACAAAGGTGTTATCCTAAAGAACAGGAAAATTAGAAACTAAAGTATGCAAGCTTAACCTTGGAAGCCAACCTTATTCCATTTGAAACCTCTCTTGCACATGTCCATTTAAGGCACTGTTTACAAATGGCGAGGACGTTTGGTTTTGTTGTGTGTTTTTATAGCCTTTTGAAATGTACAGAAAATAATTTTCTATCAATTACAGTTCTATTATGCTACAGTATATAAAATGCCAGGGATACAGAGCACAGAGGTAAATGGACAGCTTTTTTAAAATAAGACCTCTGGGATCTTGTAGAATTCCAGAACATTTAGCACCACAAAAAATGAACTTCTTGTTAGGGAAGAAACTCCTGCCAAGCACTTAACTTTCATCTAATGGGTCTAATGGCTGCCTTAGGTGAATGCTTCTGAAATTTACAAGAAGAAAGAAAAGGCCTCTCTTCCTTGGTGGAATAGATCATTGTATAAAGTTGCGCTTTTTTCTTTCTGACACTGAATGACCTGGCCTTGGCTGTTTATGACTGTCACACAGTTTGAGCCTTTTTGCAGGACAAGCCTTCTGTATGTACAACAGCAGCAGTGTGATAGACTCCATAATAACAAGACACCTAATTGAGTTTTAGTCACTTCTCAATTTCAGTCATAGCTCTTCTGAAACTTTTATTTAAAACCCCTCATATCATAAATCAAGGGGAATATTATAAATGCTAAATTAAGTCCATGGGACTTTGAAAGTAAATCCCAGATGTTTTTGGGTACAAGTTTTTTTGTGAGAATGAGGCTCTAAATCTATCACGGAATTCATTAGCTGTGACATTTGAAGTACTTCACAGCTGTTTGTGCACTTTTAGTTTGTAACCCATGCCAATGACCACTGCAGCTTTCATCTCAGTCATGCACAGGTGATATTAATATACATTCTTAAAGGCCTTTTGTTGTGTACCTATGTTATGAGAAAGTTTTGAAATTCCGCACACCCCTTGTTTCTGTACAGGACAATGGCTGAAATGCAGTGCATGATTCTCTACTTGAAACCTCCCCTATTTCACTTAGTAAAGGAATCTCTTTCAGGTGCATGACAGAGAGATCATTTTATTTTAAGTATTCTCTTAGATCTTAAATTTTCCATTGACCGAGAGCTGAACTCTGCAGTCCACACTCAAAACACTAGGTTTAGTCTGACATTGTACAGTAAGAGTGCAAGTCTTTTAGGTGTTAGCATGCTTTTGATGTACCTGTGAGACCCTGAGAACAAAGGCCTTCATTAAGACCTATAATTGCAGGACTGGAAAGATGACTAACACACACAAAAAAGCCTCACAACACTTAAGCAGCCATTTAATACTGTGACACTCCAGCTATGTTTTACTGGCCATTATGCTCACAAATTACATACACCACTCACTGACTACAATTTAATAGACTTTTATAGACATTCTTAAGCCATTGTTTTATGGGATTTTTGCATAGTTGCAATAAGAAGTATCCCCATCCTATGTTACTTGCCAGGATGAATGAGTGCTGCATGCTGTACATGTAAAAGATATAACACTGTCAAATACATGCAAATTAACAAACAAAATCCATTACACAAAATGAGTGGGTAAATAGCAATCCTGGCGAAGAAGGGTGTCAGTACATAAGCCTGTGACTGAATATACTGTACAGTAAAATGCAAAATGATGAATTTGAGCAGTGAGATAAATAGTTTTTGCATTTTAATAGTGCACATCCTGCATTTTTTGTGTGCATGGTATTTTTTAGCTCATCTTAATATATATATATATTACACGTAGTTCAGGTGGGTAGCTGCATCAGCATGCGTAGGCTGCAAAGAAACAAGTAATAGGTTTACTCCATACTGAAAAGAGAAGAAAGAAAACACAACGTTGTTCAGGTGTGAAGAAGGCTCAATGGCCGAAACGTTTTTTTTTTCTTCTCCTTTCAGCATGGAAGAAACGTATTACTTGTTCCTATGTATTACACATTTATTACTGAAGCCTTTTCTTCTTTATGTGGCTTCAAGTATCAAAACCACCTTGAGTTCTCACCTGAAAATTTCAATTTACTAATATTGCAGATATGTTGGTATAAAAGTAGAAATAACCACCCTGTACATTATCTCAAATTTAATTTACCACTGTTTTAAATTAAAAAAAAATTATAAAATGAATACATACAGAATACATAATAAATTACATACAGATAATGGTGATGTAAACAAAAAACAAACTTAGCATGCAAAATGCTTTTCTGATCTGGGAAAAGAAATGACTGAAATGGATAACAGAAAAAAAGTGCCTCTGGTGGCAATAATTTAATACCAAATATTCCATGAAAATCCATGTCATTTCAATAAAAAATATTTTTTTATATTTATGTGAGTGATTCCATTAAACATTTATACAAACTTTGTCTCCTTAAATTTTCAATATTGTACAATCTGCCAGAAACCCATATGGCCTCTTCACTGCCACAATGTCTTCTTTTCCCAGCCGTTCATCTCTTCTGCCTTTGTGTCTTCCAGATAAGAGGAGGAAAGCTGATGATCACAAATGCACGGAAGAGCGATGCTGGGAAGTACGTGTGCGTGGGGACCAATATGGTGGGCGAGCGGGAGAGTGAAATTGCGGAGCTCACCGTTCTGGGTAAGCAGCACTGCAGCCTGTTACTCTATCTTGGGAGAGAAGCACTGTATTTGTGTCACCGAATTTGACATTATGACCTTGGGTACAACCTCACGATGCACAGCTCCTACTCTGTTCTGTCTTTTGTTTCCGGTGCTTTGTTGTCCTTCCATTGTCTCTCTCTCTCTGGGGCTATATATTTCCGGGTCTTTCAATTGCCTTCGCTCAGCATTGATGTTCGGATGTCCTCAAACACGCCTAGCACCAGGTCACCCCACGTCCGCTACCTGAGGGCATTGGTTTCTGTACGGCATTTCCTGAACAGCTGAGCCCTGGCCAACCCCGTCTCGCCGCTCCGCATAGGGTCTCTTACGCTCTCCTGCCATTCTTCGGTTCTTCCCTTCCGACATCCGTGACAACAGCAGTGAGTCATAGGACAGGAAGCAAATACAATAGAATAGACTAGGACATAAAGGTTGTGTGGAAATATGACCTGCTACGAAATCTATAGGTAGATTTGAGAGGCACATTTTAAATTCTTGTAGGTTTTTCTCCCCTCCTGGTTTAAAACCAGTATGGGTATAAAACAATATATGGGTTGGATAAAAAGGGACTCACTTCAGCAGCATTGAAATTATGAAACCATTGAAACATATGCTATCTAATGACATTATGACAACCATTAAGTACAACTACACAGCAGAAGTTTATTCAGGCCAGATTGTGAACTTCTATGTTGGAATTTTAACTGGCACACTGGAGTTAACAGCATTACTCTTATGAAATGTATTGTGGGTTCTCTTATGACCAATGAGCCTCTGTTTAACCTCTCAACTAAATCACAGAACCACCTGCAACAAAGTCACCAAATAAAAGCAGTGGTTTGGAAATTATGGTCCAGAAGGAAGAGTCCCACCTAGTGGTCCACCAATACCAATTACACCTGCAACTTAAATTTCCCTGTAGGTCTCCTATCCCTGTACTGACCAAGCCTGACAAGTCTTGTATGACAGGCTGTTTAGCCTCTGACATCTAACAAGATCATGTTGATGTTAACATTACAGCTGAAGAAAATTCTGTTTAGTTCCCTCTGCTGATCAGCCATAGTACAAACTTCAGAGTGATCTGTTTCATGTATAGCTGCAGTTAGCACCTTCCCACTGGTCTCCTGGTGTTACTGCTGGGGTGGTGTGAAGGAGACACTGATCGACATTCAGTATTCCTCTATGGCTGAGTATGAAATCTGAATGTTTACAGCTATAGGTCTGAATTCACTTTATTAGATACAGTACTGTTTGGAGAAGGACAAGGTGAAGCTGTCCTTTATGCCTGTTTAAAAACTAGTTGCTGTATGTGTGACTACCTCACAATGGATGAAACAGAACCACAAATGTCTTCTGGGAATCACATAATGTATGGATTTAAAAACTGAAATATTCACCTTAAACAATTTCTTTAGAATGCACATAAGGGCAAATATTGCCAACTTGGAGTTGCCCTGGGAAAACATACAATCCAGGCATTAGTGGCTTTTGGAAAAAAAAAAAAATTATCCTCTGGATAGGAACATTGGTATTTCAGATGAGGTTTTTGGTTAGAACTGAATGTCCTACAGCAAATACTGCTTGGATGTTCTCCAAATGTAAGATTTTAAACACATAATTTTTAAATAGGACATCCAAAGCAATGTGGGCAGGAGACTGTTGGTAAGTTGGGGTAGATGGAATAGTCATTGTCTCCCTGTGCAGAGCGACCTAACTTTGCCAAGAGACCCAGTAGTCAGGTGGTCCTGGTGGATGAGAGTGTGGAGTTCCGATGTGAAGCCAGAGGAGACCCTGTACCCACTGTCCGTTGGAAAAAGGAGGATGGAGACTTGCCGAAAGGGAGGTATGTTGTCATCTCAATGTTTTTGATTCATTCATAAACACGACTGCAAATTAGGCACAAAGCACGTTGAAAACGATTACTATACATGCTTTATAAATGCTATTTAACAATAGGAGAAGAACACTAGATTAATTTGCAGTGTTTTCCTTCAGTTTGATTGTTTATGTGATTGATGGATCATTTGTTCAAAACTACAAACGTTGCATTTCTTCAAGGTAAAAATTAATGATGCATGTGTATTGGTTCTTAGATACAGTATAGAAAGAATACATATCTTTCACAGGGAGTCATTATGATTCAGATTTTCTGAAACGATTTGTCTAGTTTACTAGCACTTTTGTATTTGTGTTTTTATCTTAAGCTCTGTTCTCGTTAATTATGAAGTCTCTTATGTCTTCATTTTTTCGGAATAATACAATGGACAAATGAAATTGATCTTTTTATAAGCCATCCCAAATGCTTTACAATATGAAGAAAAGAGAGTGGCTCTTTACCCAGTAGTACAGACATCACCAGTTTGAGCTCGGGCTGTTGCCCAAAGAGTGGTGGTGGTGTGCTTGCATATTTCCTCCATTTTGTATCAATTTACACTGCTCCACAAGTAGTCTGCCACACAGTTTTTTTGTATGCTATTGTAGGGAAGGCCACATTATAGTTGCAGCCATGTAGAATGTGCAAAGTGTCAACAGTGTACAGTGGAAGGTACCACGGTGTTACAGACTGAAGCTGATCAGATTATTAAAAAAAATGAAAACGTTATGATGCAAAACTGCAATACTTTGAAAAACTGCCAAGTTGTGGGGTGAATATCTAAAGTCTCCAGAATGCATGTGGTTGTCTGACAAATTGGTACATTATTAAATGTTGATTAACTCATTAGTGTTGTCCTCTTCTAATCCCACTCTAACACAAGTAACAAACATACAACAAACAGTTTGATTAAATACAATGATTACATTGTTGAGACATTATGTTATTACCACATAATTGAGATATGTCAAAAACATTATAACAATGACATAATTATTTTCCTAAATGCATACAGTATATAGAATTATTAGTAATGGTTTATAAATAGTAATTAGATATGACTAATAATAATTGGTAATTATTTTAGATTTTAGTGATAAAAATATATTATACATAGTTTATTTAAAAACATAATGTATTTGAAAGCAAATAAACATATAAATAACAAAAAAGGAGCCAGAATAAAGTAGAAGTTTTGAGTACTGATTTGAATGACTTTGCTGCATACTGTAATTGCACTGTAGCTGAAACAATAATACATCCATTATATTAAGATCGATATATATATATAAATTGTTAATTTGCAATTTCCCATTATGTTGTTGAGGTATGCATAACTTGGGACATTTATATATAACATTTGATCATTTTAATGACTGCTTGCAAAACATTGGCGTAAATAATTGCATCTAGATGAAAGCAGTCTGCAAGAATAGTGGGGCTTATGTAAAGTACAGAATAAATATCTGTGGATATTGCTTCATGGAATTATTTAATATGTGTGGCACATGTAGTCCATGTATATTTGACTCACATGCCAAATTAAAAACTACCTCTGTGCTTAATGAGAAATAAACTTCCTGTTCTGTTTTTCAGAGAATAAAATAAAATAAAAAAAACTGTTTTAGAAATGAAAAATGTAATAATACTATTCACAAAATCCAAAAGCATTGTGGATATTTGTCTTTTTATATCTGAGCTAGTAGTCAGAACATATAGTAAGGCCTGGGTAGTACCTGGTGTTTGGAAAGCATGTCTGTGTGAAAAGTGAGACATTTCAACATCTAAAAATATTTTTTACCTACTGTAAAGTGCTTTTAGATGTAGCTATGCAACTTTTAAAGGAGTTACATAAAATCATTATATACAGACATGTTTGAAAGTTTGTGAACCCTTCAAGGTGGTCATTGTTTTAGATATTATATGAACCTCAACTCTTAATGAATATATAGAATGAATATCCTAAATAAAGACCTCCCACGCATGAAAAGGGATTTGAACTCGTAGATTATTAGACTGTAATATTTAACAAATCGCCAGATATTCTTGTGTGCAAAGGTAAATGAACAATAACTTGTGGCACCTCCTTTAGCAGCACTAACTTTACACAGTCACCTCCTAATACCAATTATCAGTCTCTGACATCTTGCTGGAAGGATTTTTTCCCACTCCTCTTTACAAACCTCCGCCAGCTCTGTGAGGTTTGAAGGATATCTTGCATGAACAGCACTGTGCAGGTCCTGCCACAGTATTTCAATAGGATTCAGGTCAGGGCTTTGGCTTGGCTATTCCAGGACATGGAACCTCATCTTCCTATGCCATTACGTAGTGGACTTACTTGAATGTTTAGGATCATTGTCTAGTTGAAACATCCACTTTGTGCTCAGCTTGAGTTTTTGAACTGATGGCCTGACATTCTTCTCAAGAATTCCTTGATATTTCTCAGAATTCATGATTCCCTTCCTCAATGATGTCAAGTTGCCCAAGGCCAGAGTAAGAAAAACAGCCCCATACAAGGACACTCCCACCACCATGCTTAACAGTAGGAATAAGGTTTTGTTGATTGTAGGCTGTGTTGGTTCTTCGCCAAATGTGGGTCCTCTTGTTGTGCCCAAATAGTTCAGTTATGGACTCATCTGTCCAGAGAACAGACTTCCAGCAAGCTTGTCCAGGTGGTCTCTGGCAAACATTGTTCTTTTTTGACAGAAGAGACTTCTCCTGGTGACCCTTCCTTAGATGGCATCTCTGTTCACGGTTCTTCTTATTGTTGATCTATGCACTACTACTTCAGTGGCAGCTTGGGAGGCTTGTAGATCTCTGGATGTTATTTTAGAATGACCTTTTACCTCTTTTATTATTCTCCTTGTGGTCCTGGGTGAAATTTTAGGAGGATGTCCACTTCTTGGCAGGGTTGCCATTATTTTAAATGCCCTCAACTTGTATACTATTTGCCTAACATTGGATTTATGGAGTCCGAATCTTTTTGAAATGGCTTTATAACTTTGCCCAGATTGATGAACATCCACTACTTTTTTCCTCAGTTCTGCTGATGTTTCCATAGTTCGAGGCGTGACGCTAGACTCATAGGAAGAGTAACTGACCTGCTTTCTTGCTATTATTTATGTTTGCTCCTCCAATTTCGTTGGTTATCTTGGTTAATTGGTTAACAATCTGTCATTGACACAGCTGATCTTACTTTACCTTGATGTAAGTCATTCACTTAGTTTTGCACCTACACAATTTGTGTGTACTGTGTGTACTGTGTGTATTATTTTGCTGCATGGACATTGTCTTTCCAAACACTCAAATTGGTAAATAATTGTACTTTACTTCAATTAGGAAGTGACACATTCTGATTAAATATGTATTTTGTGATTTAAAAAACAAACAAAAATAATCTCAAATTATTCAATGGGTTCACAAACTTTCGAAAGTGACTGTACTACTACTATTATTATTATTATTATTATTATTATTATTATTATTATTTTTATTTACTGTACTAACTGTAGGTCACATGAGTACCAGGTGCCTCTAACAAAACATATAATCCACTTTCCTGGTACTTTTCCACGGATGCCCAGATTAGCATCCTCACACTAGTTCTTTGTTGCCCGCTGCAATAATATTGTTCTGTGCCATCCTATACATATTTTTTTAAAATAAACCTTTAAATTATTTATGTGCATATACAACAGACCACCAACGGTGAAGCTGCCAGTACTGGCAGGACCCTGCAGGGGGTCGACATGACCAGGCAGCATAGAGTCTTATGCAGTATTGCGATCAGGAAATAAAAATTCCCATACAATGGGAATTGAAGTTCTGAAGCTACCGCTCTGTCTGTGAATGATCATAGCCAGTTACAATACCTAGCCTTCCACAATTGATGTTAGCCTGCGCACTCTGGCAGGTGAAGTAAACTAGAAGCTTCTGCATGCTATGGGAAAGAATTATGACTGGGTTACATTAACATTGCAAAAAAAAGATACTAGCACAACACCGTTTTTTTTAATGCAGGAATCTACTCATTCGAACCTTATTAAATACATAGCTCAAAAGAGTGTTGAAACTTTAAATGTATTTAAATGTCATGTACTTAATATTAGAAATGGATACAATCAGAAACTCCTTAGATAAATTCTTCCATTTAAAAAATATTGACACAGCTGCAAAGTATTATGACAAGCATGTTAAATCTTTTTTAAGAAAAAGCAACTGGTTCCTTATTATTCCTTTTTAAGGCTAAAACATTAATAATTGTCCTGATTTGGGGCAGGGCACACACACTAATACCTCTTAAAAAGGGTTAAACAAAAACTCCCATAAAAATGACCAATTCTTTTGGACCTAAATTATGAATTGCATTTTACAGGTGTTGAATTATACCCAAGATATATTTTTGATTCTCTATAGGATACTTCTAACACTAAACCTTATAAATGTACTTTAACAAGTCTATCCCTTGTATGCTCAAAGACTCTAGCTTAAGTTGCTGAGCCTGGTCACTATGTTTGAGATACAGAGCTGTACATCACTTTCTTATATTTTTCCAGTCACTTCAGAACAGTGTGTATCTGTCAGTCATTTTCAGTTCGCCACATTTCTGTGATTCCGATAACATTATGATTACCTGCTTAGATCTACCACTTAGCCCAGAGTTCTCTTAACAGCAATTCCAAAGTCTCTGAATCATGGCTGTAATTAGTGATCCAAAATTCCACAGCAGCAAACTGCTACAGCAAACTGGCTGCTAAAGACAATGATGAACACAAGCAAAGGTAATTGAGCTTCCAGAGAGGCTCCAAGCTTAGAGCTGTACTGAGGTATCAATTGAATCTCCTTTAATATTTAATATTTGTTTCTCTGTCATGTCCTTTTTTTGGCTTGATGCAGGTATGAGATTCGTGATGATCACACTCTGAAGATACGACGGGTGATGGCAGTGGATGTGGGCTCCTACACCTGTGTGGCAGAAAACATGGTGGGAAAGGCAGAAGCCTCAGCCACCTTAACTGTCCACGGTACAAGCACCCTTCTATTTAACGTGCTGACTCTTTGGGCTTTCATGTGAGACTTAGGCACACGGCCAGCGAGATTCGGTCCTTGTGATACACACCAGTGGATGTCTAAAGATTATTGAGGTGGATCTGGTTTGATTTCAGAACACTACATGTCAGGGAGATTTTCAAAAAGAAGGGTTATGGTAGTGAGAAGATTTAGTAGAAAACAAGTTCCTTAATCCACACTACTGGACAGCACTTTAAAAATATGTCCTTTTTGTTATTAGGGAACAGATTGTACAAACTAAGAAATCATTCCAGGCCCCTTATATCACACCTTTTGCTAATGACTGTTGCAGGAATTAATTACTGGAGAACATAACTGGGTAAATTCCCAGAATCATCTTGAATGGATTTTTTTTTCTCACATGCTGTTCAGTATACTGCAGTGACAAATAAATTTAACTTTATTAGCTGTAGCTATTAAATACCTAAATTAATGGACTTTTAAATGAAGGTTCAAATCCTAGTCTCTTCCACATCCACCTACCTATGTATAAATATCACAATTTCATTTTTCCCAGTTGTACTGTATGTTCTTTTTTGGCATCTGCTCCATCTTTGCGCTTAGCAGCTCCCTGGCTCCTCTCTCATAAAAGTCTCATTTTCACTGTTAGGTAGTCATGTTCTTAGCCAGGTGAGTTACGCCAATAAAGCAAATTAATTGAGAGTTTGCTCAACCTTACCTAAGGTTTGTCCTCAATACTGAAAAGTTGTATATTCATATAAATCTGTGGGAAGTGACAATAAGTACACAAAAATCTGTCCAATCTGCATCCACCTATAAATACACATTTTACATACAACTTATTGTTATTATAAATAGTATATTTATATAGCAAACAGCATGTCTTTCTGTAAGTGCTTGTTTGCGTAAACCTTGAAACGAGATATACGTACAAATCAGAAACACTGATGTCCATGTGCTACACCACAGCTGGCACATTCATTGAGAGGAGATGGCTTGGGAAGGGTTGTAATGCAGTTCTCTAGCATGGCTGCGCTTCTACTGCATCAATTTTCTGTGCTGTACAGTACTTCCAGCTCCAAAGAAAAAAAAACCCTGAGAATTCAGGTCTAGATAGTGTCACAGATTGAGACCATTTGACAAAAAATCATTCAGCCAAACACGTTTTCTATGTAGGTTTGCACAATTCTCCAGAGACATTTGTTAGACACTAGAACCTTTTTGTTAGTAGAGTAATTGCTGCAATGACTGTGAGGTAGGAATCCAGGTCTTATTCACTTTCTAATAAAGCAGAACTATGTGAATATTGAGCACTGGGGGATCCAGATGAGTTAACAGCAATTTCAGTCTTTCAGAGGAGTAATGAAGCAACAGGGCTTTTCACATTACATATTGGTACTAGCTGACATGCAAAAGCACAGCCCAATTATTGAATCCTGAGAACGATTGGTAAGAGCATCAGAACTATTACAGATGAGACCATTTGGTCCATTTAACTCATTTAATATTTAATAGCTAATTAGATTTCATCCAGTTGTATAGGACATCCTTTGAGCCCAGATACTGTATGTTACCAAGGTGCTGTTATCTAAATCCAGAACAACATATATTTTTTGTTGCTTCCCCTCATTTGCTGGTAAACAAAAATGATTTTTCATTTCAAAATAATAAACTTAAACTTTCTTATAAGGTTCTTACAAGTAACCCTTATAAGCTCAGTGCTTATCAATTTGCATTTATAGTTTGTTTTTGCTATCTGAAAGCAACACTATAAATGACAAATAGTATACTCCTCCTAGATTGATATTATCTGTGAGATTTACACATTTTCCAAGTACATTAGAGTATAGATTAAAACAGCCTTCCTTTCTCTTTTTAACTGATTTTTTTTAACCTTTTTACCCACAGCCAGCCTAACTTTGATTCACTTATTTGTGGGAAAATCAGTTCTGTGCTTTATGCAGAAAATCTGTAAGCTTTTGCCATCCATTACTCATTCACTCCATATAATGTATATATCTCCTCCACTCTCCGCATCTATGTGTCATTATTTATGCTTTCATGAAATTGTAAAACATTGTTTTGTACTGTGCAGGTCCTGTAGTTTCACAGCATGGTTTAAGAATACCATATTACGATTGCACTTCCCTCAAGATTGGCTCACCTTTATCTTGAAAATACTATAGCAGTACTACCATACCCACTAGCAAGTATGATAATTACAGCACACAAGAATGTATAGAATATTTTTTTATTGAGAGCCAAGAGTGGTGTTTTTCAAAAGAAATACAGAAGTCAAATTAGATATTACCATGATAACCAAAATTGTCTGGTAGGAAAGTATTTTCCTTCCTCTACCTTGTGCGCACACATTTAACCATTCACTGGCTATGCAGCCTGAAATATCCCAAAACTGAGCAATTGTTTTTTTCAGAATGGCATGTCAGGGTTTAAAGGACTATTAAGTTCATCTTGGTGGGCCTGAATTCTGAATGTGGCCAGTCATCCAACCATTTAAACTGAATATAGAATACTTCCTTCAATATAGCAATATACAGTACTGTATTCCTTGAGCTTTGATTTGAGTGTAGTGGTGCAGTAGGTGCAATTCATTATTCTGAAGAAAAGTACATTTTATAGAGCAGGGCTAACAGTTTATACAGAAAATGTAGTTGAAGTATATAACTGCATCAAACCTGTACAAGAGTTTTCTTGTGCATTAGTGCTCCCGAGAGCTAGTGTAGCTCTTTGTGATGGAAAATCGCATTCAGAATAAGTAACCTCACATTGCAGTGCAACCCAGCAGTTCACTATTATTTCAATGTTTCAATAAATAAGTTGAAAGGCTGTTGTAACCTAAAGGATAGGGCAGCCTAAGGTGGCCATTTTTTTTCCCCTAAAAATAAAAATGCTTTACTTCTCAGACATTATCAGTGATATCCCTAGTACTTTGATGGGAGAACATCACGTCTAGGCCTGCCTACAATTACCAGCATATGTGTTATTCATATGCGTTTTGTAAACAATTACGTTTCTCAAGCTTTCAAAGATCACTTTATCATTTTTGGACATGTGTCCATGTAGATGGCTTTTATGCAGCTGAAGTCTTCTTAACTCAAAAATGCTTTTATGTCTTCCTTTTTATATCGGTATGTTTAGCACAATTTTTGTATCACGGTGTTAAACACCCAATTTAACTTTAAACACTTTTATATCCTTCTTCATTCACCCACTATAGTTAATATGAAAAAATAGTGTTGTCAAGAAATTGTATGCTTTTGCATACTGAAAATCTCTTCAAAACCCCAAGTTTTTTCTGTTCTCAGCCTCCATACTTTATGATGAGGGGCAACATGGCTACAGCGGCACATACTATAATTAAAGCAATGCAACTCTAGTACCACAGTAGGAAATTACATGTTTCAAATAATGACCTTTAATTGTGGAATTTAAATGGTTATTTGCCACTCTGAATAGAGGAAGGAAGATGAGAGATGGGCTTGGAGATACCATATCTCTGTACACTGTGTCTTCTGACTGGTTATACCAGGTCCCTTCTCTGTTTGGAGAACTCAGAAATGTTAATCTTTCTCTTTGCTGGAGCTGCTTTTTTGTCTCCATAGATTGCCCCCAGAGGAAATGAGACATAACAAAATGATTGTCTGACAAATGTATATCCAGACTGGAGTGATACTTCCAGCTTCAGATTGCTCTGATAAGCCCTACAGAATGTATGAGAAAGGGAGGGAGCACTAAAACTCTACTTCATAAGTCTCAAAGGATTTCACGCCTATTTTGCAGCTGAATATTTCACCTTGGATTACCCTGCCTTCTTAAAGTGATCAACTGTGTCAGAAATACACTGGAAACAAAGACCTAGCATTCAGGTGACCTTTAAGGGTATGTCCTTAGGAATTTGGAAATACCCATAGTAGTATTAGCATGAACATGCCCCATTTACTTAGATTCAAGCTATTAAAATCCTTCTTATCATAAGTGACATTTTCCATCACCCTAATTAATCTGTTCCAGAGATTGGGGCATTTTATACTTTTACAGTATTTTTTTAAGGATCTGAGTGTGCCTTTACCACAGAACTTCCTGATCAAACCACATTTTAGGCTACAGCAATAATTAGTATTCCTCGATACTCTGTTGACACACGTCCAATTTATTACATTGGATTAAGCTTCAGGATCTCAGTAAATGAGCAATTTGAATTAATTCAGAAAAAAAGCAAAAAAAGTAAAGATGTTTATTGTGGTTTTTACCAGCTACTCCGTTAACTCTGCATCAGAAAATCTGTCAGGGGGTCTTGCAGGGGCAGAGTGGTGGCTAAGGATATGCAGCTGTGACTGGAAGGTTGCTGGTTCAAATCCCACGGCTGGCAGAGGAATCCTATTCTGTTGGGCCCTTGAGCAAGGCCCTTAAACCCAACTGCTCCTGCGGTGCTGTATAAATAGCTGACCCTGCGCTCTGACCCCAAGCTTCTCTCTCCCTGTCTGTGTGTATTATGGAGAGCAAGCTGGGGTATGCAAAAAGACAAATTCCTAATGCAAGAAATTGTATATGGCTAATAAAGTGATCTTATCTAATCTGAGGTGACAAACCCAGTATTATTTTTGAACAAGTGATTAGCACCACAGTGAAAAAACACAGTGGTACATAAATACTGTAGATCCACTAGGTGACTTATGGCAGAAGCACCATGTTCAGTATGAGATTGGAATGTTAGTTTCGAATGCCTCCTGAAATGTATAGACTATCAGAAGATAAATAATCACACAGAAAACTATTGCACTCACCTTTTCCACCTTTTTATGGTAAATCTTGTTGAGCTTTCAACTGCCTACTTAGAGTCCACCCAGACAAATGCTCAGTACGACCAAGAATCCTAACGAGACAATAAGTTCCATACTCTGTGATTTTCATGTCCTTGACATGCAGGCAACTTCATGATAGTTTTGATATTTTCAAAGTAACTGCATTTTTC